AGGTAGAAGACGCCAAGACACTTGAAGAGGTAGAAGACGCCAACACGCTTAAGTCGACCATGTAGCCCGCGTAGAAGACGCCAAGACACTTGAAGAGGTAGAAGACGCCGAGACGCTTGAAGAGGTAGAAGACGACCGTGTAGCCCGCGTCGAATACGCAAAGACACTTGAAGAGGTAGAAGACGCCAAGACACTTGAAGATGTAGAAGACGCCAAGACGCTCGAAGAGAGGTAGAAGACGACCATGTAGCCCGCGTAGAAGACGCCAAGACACTTGAAGAGGTAGAAGACGCCAAGGCGCTTGAAGACGAAGAAGGAGCGAAGACACTTGAAGAGGTAGCAGACGACCATGTAGCCCGCGTAGAAGACGCCAAGACACTTGAAGAGGTAGAAGACGCCAAGGCGCTTGAAGACGAAGAAGGAGCGAAGACACTTGAAGAGGTAGCAGACGACCATGTAGCCCGCGTAGAAGACGCCAAGACACTTGAAGAGGTAGAAGACGCAAAGACACTTGAAGAGATAGAAGTCGCCAAGGCACTTGAAGAGGTAGAAGACGCCAAGGCACTGGAAGAGGTAGAAGACGTAGAAGACGCCAAGACACTTGAAGAGGTAGAAGTCGCCAAGGCACTCGAAGAGGTAGAAGACGCCAAGGCACTTGAAGAGGTAGAAGACGTAGAAGACGCCAAGACACTTGAAGAGGTAGAAGACGCCAAGACGCCTGAAGAGGTAGAAGACGACCATGTAGCCCGCGTAGAAGACGCCAAGACACTTGAAGAGGTAGAGGACGCCGCGACACTTGAAGAGGTAGAAGACGAGCATGTAGCCCACGTAGAAGACGCCAAGGCACTTGAAGAGATAGAAGACGCCAAGGCACTTGAAGAGGTAGAAGACGACCATGTAGCCCACGTAGAAGACGCCAAGACACTTGAAGAGGACGCTTGAAGAGGTAGAAGACGCCAAGACACTTGAAGAGGCACGGGACGCCAAGGCACTATGCCTGCAAAAGGCACGCGACCAACGCGGCCAAGCGTCTCCGGGGCTTCGAACCGAGCTGCGTTAGACCTGGTGAAGACGCCGCAGAAATGGGTGTCCACGCTTGCAGTTCTGCGAGCCGCGAATTCACAGATCTCACGGAGCCAGGCGGTGAGCCAGGTGGCGAGCCATGTCGCCTTTGCCTCTTGGGAGTTCTGGGGCTTTCCATGAGCCCGCTTCGGTCAAGGTGGACGCTATTACTCCGAACCCCCCCCCCCCCCCCAAAGAAAAAACAACAACAACCGCCCAAATCAATCTGCCGGGCACACGCGCTAAAATTCAGAGAAACCACTCCAAATGCTCGGTTCTGCCTGGAGCAGAGGCCCAAGAACCCTAGCTCAACTCGCATCAACGTGACTAAAAAGTGCTAAATCGCAGGGCCGCGAAAGCAGCGCCGCACCACCACCACCAACAACAACAGCAACAGCAACACCAACAGCAACAGCAACAGCAACAGCAACAGCAACAGCAACAGCAACAGCAACAGCAACAGCAACAGCAACAACAACAACAACAACAACAACAACAACAACAACAACAGCACAGCAACAGCAACAGCAACAGCAACAGCAACAACAACAACCACCAACAACAACAACCACGTCAACAACAACAGCAGCAGCAACAACAACAACATCGCCAACAACACCAGCAACAACAACAACAGTAACAACAACAACAAACACAACAACAACAACCACGTCAACAACAACAGCAGCAGCAACAACAACAACAACATCGCCAAACAACACCAGCAACAACAACAACAGTAACAACAACAAACACGACAAACAACAACACCAACAACCAACAACAAGCAACAAACAGCAAACAACACAGAACGCGCAACAAACAGCAAAGAACACAGAAGACACAACAAACAACAAACAAGAAACAACAAGCAGCAGACAACCACCACCAAATAACAATCAATAAACTACAAACCACAAGCCACAAGCAGCGAACCACGAACCACAAACGCCAAACACCAAACAACCAACAACAAGCAACAAGCAGCAAACAACGAATACCAAACACAAACACCAACAACAACAACAACGACAACACCAGCAACAGCAACAACAACAACACCAACACCGCCAACACCAACACCAACACCACACCACCAACACCGACACCGACACCAACACCAACAACAACCAACCACCCACCCACCCACCCACCCACCCACCCACCCACCCACCCACCCACCCACCCAACCAACCAACCAACCAACCAACCAACCAACCAACCAACCAACAACAGCAGCAGCAGCAACAGCAACAGCAGCAGCAGCAACAGCAACAGCAACATCAGCAACAACAGCAACAACGGCAACAACAGCAACAACAACAACAGCAGCAACAGCAACAGCAACAGCAACAGCAATGCTGAACACAAGAACCACAACAACCGCAACAACAACAGCAGCAACAACAACAACAACAACAACAACAACAGCACCAACAACAAAACGCCAACACCAACGCCAACACCCATACCAACACCAACCCCAACCCCGACCGCCAACACCAACGCCAACACCCACAACAACGACAAAGGCAAAGACAACGACAACGACAAGGACAACGACAACGACCAAAACAAAAGAACAACAACCGCAACAACACAACAACGGCAACAGCAACAGCAACAACAACAACAACAACAACAACAACAGCACCAACCACGACGACGACGACGACAACGACAACGACAACGACAACGACAACGACGACGAAACAACAACAGCGACAACAACATCAACAACAACAACAACAACCACAACAACCAACAACCAACAACCAACAAGCAACAAGCAAACAACCAACAACCGCCAACCAACAACCAACGACCAATAACCAACAGCCAACAGCCAACAACCAAGAGCCAAGAACCAAGAACCAAGAACCAACAACCACCAACAACAGCAACAGCAACAACAACAACCGCAACAACAACAAACCGCAACAGCAACAACAACATCAACATCACCAGCAGCAACAACATCAACGTCAACAACAACAACAACCGCTGCCACAACCACAACAGCAACAGCAGCAACAACAACACCAGCAACACCAGCGTCAACAGCGACAACAGCAACAACAACAGCAACAGCAGCAGCAACAGCAACAACAGCAAGAGCTGACAACAGCAACAACAGCACCAACAGCAACACCACCAACAGCAAAAGCAAAAGCAACAGCAACAGCAGCAACAACGACAACAACAAGAGCAACAACGACAACAACAACAACAACGACAACAACAGGAACAACAGCAGCAGCAACAACAACAACAGGAACAACAAAAGGAACAACAACAGGAACAACAACAGGGACACCAACAGGAACAACAGGAGCAACAACAGGAACAACAGTAGCAACAACAACAGACAACAACGAACAACAACAAACAATAGGCAACAACAACATGAACTACAACAACAATGACGCCAGCAGCAACAACAGCAACGCCAACGACAACAACAACGACAACAACCACAACCGCAACCAGCAACACCCAGCAACAGCAGCAACCGCAACATAATTTCCAACACCATTAACCCAGAACAAAAACAAAAACAACAACACCAGCAAGAACAAGAACAAGAACGCCAGCAAGAACAAGAACAAGAACACCAGCAAGAACAAGAACAAGAACACCAGCAAGAAGAGCAACAACAACGTCAACATCCAACAACAACAGCAGCAACAGCAGCAGCAGCAACAGCAACAACAACATAAGCAACATCAACAGCAACGGCAACAGCAACAGCGCCAGCAGCAGCAGCAGCAACCACAACAACAAACACCAACAACAACGACAACAACAACAACGTCGTTCACATCGACAACCACTTTAACATCAACAACAGCAACAAGCAACAAGCAACAACAGCAGCAGCAACAACAAACACGACAACAGCAGCAGCGCAGCAACAACAGCAGCAACAACAGCAGCAGCAAAAGCAAATATCAACAACAACAACTTTTTTGTACAACATCAACATCGACATCAACAGCAACAACAAACAACAGCAATGCCAGCAGCCGCAACAACAGCAACACCAACACCAACCCTTAACAACAACAACAACAACAAGAACAAGACCAATAGCAACAACACTACCACCACCGGCAGCACCAACACCAAGAACAACAACAACCACCACCACCAACAACAGCGCCAACAACACCAGCAGCAACAACAACAGTAACAACAACAACAACAACACCAGTAACAACAACAAACAACACACAACCAACAGCAAGCCGCAAGCAGCAAACAACACAGAACGCTCAACAAATAACAAAGACCACAGAAGACACAACAAACAACACACAACAAACAACAAACAGCAAACAACAAATATCAAACACAAACACCAACAACAACGACGACAACACCAGCAACAGCAACAACAACAACAACACCAACGCCAACACCAACACCAACACCAACACCAACAACAACAACAGCAACAACAACAAAAGCAAACAAACCAAATCAACAACAACAATAACACCAACAACAACAACACCACCACCAACAACAACAACCACAGCAACAACAGCAACAGCAAACACAGCAACAACAACAACGACGACGACGACGACGGCAACAACAACAATATCAACAGCAGCAGCAACAACAACAGCAGCAACAACACCAACAACACCAAGAACAGCAAGAGCAACGAGAACAAGAGCAGCAGCAAGACCAAGAGCAGCAGCAACAGCAGCAATACTAACAACAGCAGTGACAGCAGCAACAGCGACAAACAGCAACAGCAACGCCAGCATCGAAGCACAAGGACAAGGCACTTGCAGCAAGATGGGCAACATCGCCGGCCAGAGCAGCAAGTAGCAACAGCAGGAATGGTGTTTTGCAGATGAAAGCGTGTGATTCGATGAAGTTGGTTCGGGGGGGTGGTTTTTGCTGTCCAACTTTTACGGCGCAAGGCCACGACCAAGTACAACGAGCTGCAGCAAGCCCGCAATGGCGGCAAGGAGGTGAAGAAGCGCAGGAAGAGCAAGCCCCGCACCAGCCTGCGGCGCAACACTCCCCAGAGCCAAGCGATCATGAGCGCCCTGGAGGAGCGCGCTCAAAGGTAGCTTTGAAGTGGCGTTATAATGACTTTGCACGGGGGGTCAGGATTTTTGAGCGGTCACCTTTCCAGTACAACGTGGATGGACCGAGTCTAGCTTACGAAAACGGCAAGTCTTGCTACGCCAGGGGTCAAGCATGCCGGCTAGTCTCATGTTTCGAGGGATGCGTGCGCTGTACGCAGACATGTCTGCTGAAGCCCGTCTTAGGGGGCATGCATATCGATACCCCCGAAGATGAACTGATGTCCCTTGGACAGCCGCAAGCGGCAGCAACACACACAGTTGGAAGGAGAAGAAGAAGGCGCAGCAATCCCTGCAGGAGGCCCTTATTAAGGCGTCTTGGAACGCAGGTGATTGTGACGGAAGGACGTCCTCCGCAGAAGGTTGGTTGACGAAGCGCGCACTCGACAATAAGAGAGTCATTCTACATCGTTTTCTTTTGTTTTGTGCATCCGTTCAGATTTTCACTTCTGCATCTTGTCTTAACGCCCAAACTGCAAGATTGACCCTCACAGGCCTGCAAGTTCCGTCTCGTTCCCTGGCTCCAGGGAATGGCATCGGGTCCATGGGGCCATGGGGTGAAGGCCTTTTCGCCTTCCGGGCGAATGAAAAAGCGAGGAGTTTTTCTCAAAGGAGCATCCGGTTGACTCTCGGATTTTCAGCTGCTCACGCTGTTGTGGAAGTGACGGACGTGCCCAATGCCGCTGAGAAGCGAGCTTTCCGAGTTTTAGAGCCAGGGGACCGCAGGTTGGAGTCTACTTTACCACGTGCAAGGGCAACCCATTTCGGGCCCCGTTCTTTTCTTGAGCCACACCCTTTTCAAGAAAGTTTCAGGTATCTTGCTTGGAGACCTTCCACCAAAACACCTGCAGCATGCAAGCGGATCGCACCGAGTCCACCGCAGGCCCCACAAACCAAAGGCTGTATATGTCTATGAACATACGGTCAATTTGGACTCCATTGGGGCGATTTTTCCAAAAACTCAGCTACACTTGGTGCTGAATGAAATAAAAACATCAGGCGTTCATATTGTGGATGCACGAATTCCTGCACTCCAAGGAGTGATATGTCCCTGTAAATGCCAACGAACGGTATGGTTTGAACAATGGTTTCAAAGTGGTGCGAGCGGATTTCGCAACCATCCACAGTAACCACGAGGTTCATCTTGGGTTCATACGCGTTCAGCCTAGCAATTCCGAGGTGAAATGCGACGCAGACTTCCAGCGGGCCGTGGAAATTGAGGCGCAGCAGGCCACCGAAATGCGGGGCGCAGGGAGAACTGGGGATGTGAAATCCGCTTTGGCCGCCCTATGATTACTTGCAACTTTCCCAAGTTTGTCCAGCCCCAACCCGGATTCATTTCAAGGTACCCAAGGTACCCTCCCACAAACATGGAACCTGACATTTTGGGGGGGTGGGTTCTCTTTCAACGGAACATCTTCCCAAAACGGACCTCCCCAAAACGTCGAACGGTTCCATGTGAATTGGCGGGAGGGCCCATTCCCTCAGCCCTCTCGCACTTGGCTTTTTGCGCTGCAAAGCCGGGTGTTTCTCTCTGGTTACGGGGAAGGGGTTACTTGAAGGGGCGATCGGGTATGTCAGGTAAATGGGTAATAAGCATTGACCCAAAGCCATGGTTATATATATATATATAAGTCTAAGTGGATTATAACCAGGCTACTAGCCACTTACTAGGTACCCTGCTCCTTCAAGTAGTGAGGCTGCTCCAAAGCGGTGGTCGTTATTTTGTGGTTTCTCTTCTTGAGGCATGTCGGGTTTTGGTTTTTCTTCGCCGGGGCCGGGGACAGCGGCTGCACAGTGGAGACCCTGTGGAGTCAAGGTGCCTCGCATGCAAGTGGTGACCTGCAAGGGGATGCCAAAGCAGGTACGTTGAAGTCACATTCTTGTTGAGCTTCTCCGTTCTTGAGATGTCGGCAGGGGTGCGGTTCCAAAGGTGGTGGTGAAAACCAGCACTTCATGGCAATTGCCCTCCACTAACATGGAGCCTGACGTTTGGGGGTCCTGGAAGACCATTTTCCTTTAAAAGGAGGGACCCTCGGGTGAGTTCCACGGCAACGTGGACAGGAGGGAACTGCAAGACGCCCCAGTAACGCCCTCCGCGCTCCGTGCATCCTTTGCGCTCAGTGCATCCTCTGCGCATCCTGCGCGCATTGTCCGCGTCCGGCGTCAGGCGACGTGGCGCTTCGGGCAAGACTTCAACACCGACAGCCTTTCTGATCGGAAGGACGGCACAGGCTCCGCCACTTCGTTGGGCTCCAACGGCAACCCTGTGCAGGCAGGGCTTTCGAAGGGTGGGGGGGGGAAATGAAATAATAAGATTAGAAAGCAAGTAGGATAATGATCTAGGTCAAATGATGATAGTTTAATCATGATAACTCGTATTGGTCCACAGTTGGTCCCAAAAAGGTGAGGTTGGAGATCTCACCCCATCGTGGCTTTCCATGCGGCGACGAAGACGCACAAGCCATTTGCGTCAGGTTTTCTTCCTCGGCCCTGCCGCTCATCTTGTTTGCAAGTGTTCAGCCAAGTCTGCCCAGAAGCCTGGGATGCCCATGGTCCGTGCACCCGCTAGCGCAGAGTCCGTGCACTTTTCACGAACTTTGCTTCAAAGAATGGTGCGTGGGAAAGCGGGAAAGCGAGGCCAGGTTCTGCCACGACATGCCGCCGACTCTGGGCCGTCGACCACACACACGCACCACACATCTACATGTGCGAGATCGGGGAGGGTGGGTGGGTGCGTGTCCATGGTGGGGCGCCTAACTTGTTTGCAAGTCTGAGGGAAGGTCCGTGTAGGAAAAAATGGTGTGGAGGCTTTAGTTGGCAGTTGCGCCAGCCACGCATGCGCCACAAAGCGTATTTTGCCAGATCGTAGAGCGAAGCAACGCTTGTGTGTGGTTTGTTTGCTTGCTTGCTTGTTTGATTTTGTTTTGTTGTTTGATTTGGTTTGATTTAAGTTGGCTTGCTTTGTTTGTTTGTGTCAATGGTGGGCTTGTTCGTTCTGTCCCACACGCCTTCTGGAATGTCATGCGGGCTACCAACCTAACTGTCCTGCGTAACTTGGTTAGCTGTGCTGCTCCAAAACAGTGTCCCTTTGCAAAAGCTAGCCGTGGGCAACGGCCAAGCACGAGAATCCGAAGCTCCTTGCCTCTTACACCCAGAATAGCAACCAAGAGAGCGGTCGAGATCAGTGGGGGGCAAGGAAGCGGGGGTGGGGCCGGTTGTGCGTTAATGGTGGGGTTGTTTGTCATGAGCTGTTAGCTGTAGCTACGGTGATGCTCTTGTGTGAGACCCCGGCGGTTTGTCTCCATCAGGCTATTGAGGCCACCTGTGTCTGTTTTGCCTTGCTGTTCTGACGGCAGAGGGAGCCGGCGTTCGCGCCTCAGGCGTGTAAGCGCATGTTCTTCTCGCTGGTGAACAAGATGGGCATGAAGGGCAAGCCGCCGCCAAAGCCATCGGCCAAAGCAGCAGGCGGCCCGAAGGCCAAGGCGAGCAAGAAGAAGCTCAACGCGGAAGACATACAGAAGGCCCTGGATCTCGCGGTGGTCCAGCTGAAGAGCAGCGTGAGGGGGCAACAGCCACAGGCGGTCTTTAAACAGCTGGACGTAAAACAGAATGGAACAGTCACGCCCCTGGAGTTCGCACACTTCATTCAGAAGACAGTCCAGGGAGTCAGCAGCTTGGCGATTTTGCGAGGCCGTGGTGCGCTGCTTTGCAACTAAAATATTGAAATCTCACTAGTTCCGCACCTCATGCGCCCAAACAAGGCCACTTCAATTTGCTTTGCCAAGTGCCACATGATCATACGGTTGCTTCCCAGTGATATGTGCGACTGTAATTTCGGACCAGTCAATCGGCAAAGAAGGGTATCCTCAACAAAAAGCCTTGCCCAGATGATACCCTGGGCCTGGGTAGCCTGTGCGTGCCTGTGTGCCGTATGTGTTTGTTTGCAAGCACCTTGGGCAAGCACCGCACATCTAGCGGTCAATCGAGGCAAAACGCAGGTTGGTGGGCTTTGGCGCTTGGCAGACAGAAACTGCGACGGCAAGTTGGATTTGCAGGAGTTTTCAGACCTTCTGAGCATGAAGCCCTGATGCAATTTGGCCGGGACCATGAGAGCCTGGGCTCTATTATTCTGAGCCTGCGCAACCATTTGCGGGAGACGTAAATGACCAAGTGTAGTGCTTCTGTGCGGCTGTCTGCTCCAAATGGCAACTCCGGGGAAATGGCCCGGAAACGCTTGCATGAGGTGCACTGCAGGAAAGAAACATGTGCATCTACCAACCCTTACATTTGACGTGTGTTGCCATCATGGACGTCATTTGTCAAGCAGCCACATCAAGGAGGCAGCTGCGGAACCAAGTTGAACTTTGAGCTTTTGATTCTGGAAAAGCGACTTCCCTGCCATCCATGACTTGATCGCTAGAGGGCTAGCTCGGCACCAAACAAGCATCAAGTTAGCATAGAGGTTCTTTGACTTGCATCTCAGCCGCAAGCTTCCATGTGCCTGCCAGCGCAGATCAGCCTTGCAAGCCTTGGCATCCCAGGTCCTGGTTTCATAGTCGAGTCATTTCGGCCGCCCCGTAGGGGCGCTTGCCCTGAACACGTGCACGTGCGACGCAGTCATGCAATCTTTTGGAAGACTGCCGCCATACCCCTCAGGGGGACGCACGCTCCATGGCATTCTTGTTTTGCGAGTGAGGTTGACCGCTCGCTGGTAGCAACGACGAGGTATGTTTGTAAACGGCCTCAAGCCGTAGGTGTCTTAATCCAAGGTCAAAACGGGGATCGACAGATGGAGCCTGTGAGCTATCAAACTCCCAGAGTTTGGCAATGCCTCGGAAAGGCCGCTCACCCGGAGCGGGATGTTAGATAGCCGAGTTTTTTTTCTTCTATTTGCGCTGAGCCTGTCTTAGACAAGGGCTCAGCGACGCCGGCAGCTTCATGCATGTGGATCTGCGGTTCTGCGGTTCTAGCGCATTGGGCGGCGTTCCTTCCCCCAGGGATTCAGGGGGCACGGCCAGAGACCCCCCAAGGGAGTTCAGGACCCTGATGGGGCCCCCTTGCACACGGCCGGGATAGCACTAGGTCTTGCCTTCCTTCCAAGAGCAGAGGACAAACCCTTGCGCAGTTCTTATCCATTCCGAGCTGGATGGGTTTAGGGAGCTCCATCTTGGGCAGGGTGTCCAAGACACCAGGACTGATAGACAGAGCGGACTTTGAAGTAACGAAAACCTGGCCGCGGTGGGGGGAGACATGGGGAGTTCGAATCTGTGTGACCCTCATGGCCTCTGCCTCCGGCGTCGGCCGTGCAGCTTTGTTGTGGGGCGCCTTCTGACCCGGGCCTGCCTACTCAGGCGGATATCCTGGTAGGGATGGTCACAACTCGCCCAGCCATGATCAGCCCCAAAACAAGGAGTATGGGTCAATGGGTCATTGTACGGCAAAATTGGAGACCCTGTGGGCGATCAGTTGCTTTGCGACCTCTTGTTCTCCTCCTGACTTTTGCCACAACAACAGATCACGGGGCTGGCGTCCAGGCGGCCACTTTTGATTCTCAGATAAGGGCGCTTCTGAAAATTAGGAACCCCTTCAAGTGCTCGGTTTCCTTTTGGCTTTCCTTCAAAAACCCTCCGAAAGAAGGGGACCCCCAATTTGTGAGAGAACCACCCCTAAGACGCCCTGGCCGGGGCCAGGTCTACCTGCATGACACCCGGGACACCAAGCTCTTCGAGTCCCGGCGCCGCTTCCGGAAGGCGTTTTGTCTGGGCTGGTGGCGAAGCTCGAGGGGTTGACGTGTTGGGGGACTTTAAGCTTTTGGGGAAGGTCATTTTGGTGGGAAATAGCCAGTTTGGACGCTCTTTTGTTTTTTTGGCCAAGCTACTCCGGGAGTGAACCAAGGTAAGTGTGGGGTGGGCGGTGGGTTGCGCGAGCAGCAACTGTGCTATGAGAGCTGCCTCAAAGACAACTGCAGCAACTGTATATGGAAAGCCAGCAATCCAACAGAGAGTACGGTGAACTGCCAGAAGCTCACGGCCTCATTGTAGAGGCGCCGGCAATTCCGGCCCTGGGTGTCAGCTCGGGGTTCAAGCACGGACCGTGCATTCTGAAGGGCGTCGCCGGCAACGCCGGCTGATCATTTGGATTGGGGGGCCTTGGAGCCCTCGCGGTCAGTAGGTCTTTGCAGCGATGCCGCATCGATTTCATGGTTGGGATGGTGCGTCCCGGTACGGTTGTGTCTTGCGGATCTTCAACAAGGCTGCAGGAATGGAACCGACTGGGGCATGGAGGTTGTGCTCATACGGTCCAGCTATCCCCGACGCAAAAGCCAAAGAGAAACTCCCTGGGGCGCGCGATGTGAATGAGAGACTAGTTCAAGGGTGGCTTTGTGAGATCTTCAACAGCCGGATGGTCGCCTCGCCAGTTCGACTTTTCGGCTCAGCTGCGGGGTTTCGAAGCGCAATCCAACCTGGTCTCCCGGCAGGTGCGGCACTTGCAGTTGTGAGGTGGGTGCGGGGATGTGCCAAAAAATTCAAGGCCCGCAACATGAAGCATTCTGGACTGCTTGGTTTCTGCTCGCAGCCTTGCCTTTCACCATGCCGGCGCTACAACAAGAACAAGTCTATGGTTTTGAAGTCGGAATTGTGTCGCACTGCTTGCCCATGCACCTGCTCATCCAAGGTGGTAGAAGGCCACACAAACATAGAACAAGCATCGCGCCGCGAGAGGGTTCATGTTTGCACATTCTCTGGGACAAGGCTGTGGGATCCTCCTCCTTTACATGCGGGGTTAGTCTGTGGGAAGCCTTTTCCGCTGTATCGCAGAAGTAGGCGTTTCCCACAGCCCTGTTTTTTACATATCTTCCGGGACAACTTCAAGTGACCGCCAGCCCAAAACTGGGCTAAAGAAGCCTCTAAATCCTTCCAGGAGATGGCAAGCTTCACTGGTCGGCGGCCAGGCAGGTCGGTCCAAGCTGCAGGCTTCTGATTCTGCCTTCCAAATTTCCAAAGTAGCCTCAGCCCCTTGGTACAGCACCCCTTGCCCCTGGCGGCCCTGGCATTGCCTTAGTGTCCGCAAAGCAACGGCATGGTTCATGCGGAGGCAAGGCCATATTGGCATTGCTGGCAGCCAGCGCCCTCTTCGCAGCAGCTGGCCTCATGCCCCCGGCTAAGCCTTCCAATCGGCATAGCTTTGACAGGGTCTGGAGTTTAGCCCCAGATATGCGAGAGCGCATGCCTTGAACTTGGCGTCAGTCAGGCGTCGCTGAACGCCACGAAATTCGGAATCTGGGTCCAGAGACATGGCTCAGGCCCGCCTTTGTGCCGACGGGAATGGCGGCACCCCACCTGGGCACAGGCCGGGCATTTTTCTAAAAAACTATTCCTGACTGGCATTCATGCAATGAAGCTTTTTTTGTTGATTCATTGACCCTCCTTCCGTTTCCTTCCGTTTCCTTCCGTTTCCTTCCCTTTCCTTTCCTGACCTTCCCCTCCCCTCGCTTATCGTTCTTCCAATTAGCAGCCATGATGTGGATGAGCGAGGCAGCATGTGTTTTTCGCTGCTCCGGTGGCTTATTGCCAACACTTGCCGGCAGCTGTTGCTTTTGCTGCAAGACTTGTGTTGTCGTATCTGACTTCCGCCTCCAGATTCAAAACAATTTGGCAGACTGGCCGTCGACGCCTTGATTTGTAAGGAGCCACCTAGAGAGGCGATAGCTTGCGAAAGAAATCGTGCTGTGTCGTTGGCCCTCACCGTGGTTTTCGTGGCCTCTGATTATGACTTATAAGCATAACCCCTGCCCTATCCCTGCATTGGCTAACCGCGGCCGCGAAGTGATGCAATGCTTCGATTGTTTGATCTATCAACCAGCAACCAGATTCAGCTTAGAAACATGAAGTACATGTTGTTTGCCAACCAACATCTAGAAAATGACGCCGCTTGTCGGCAAACCCTTCCAACATGCAAAGCCTAGACATCACCCCCTGCCCAATTTGAAATGGATATGGGCCATGGGTCAAAATTAAACCACAGGGGACCGCAGGTTTTGGTCCATGCTACCACTTGCAGGGTTCAATTTGGGTACCGATTTTTGACCCACAGGCAAATGAGGACACGTTTTGGGCACAACGGGCCGACAAATCACTCGTTGCAACTCCCGGACAGAACATGCCAGCCGCGCTCGGTCGGCAGGCGCTACAGTGTCTGGGGTCATGGCGTCAAGGCCACTGCAGGCCGAGGGCTCCAGGTGTGCGTGTGTGCGCGCGGGTGCGTGTCTGTGCGTGCGCCCGCGCAGGTGTGACTGTGCGTGTGTGAATTGGCGAGCGCAGGGGTTCCCTGTCTGGAAAACGGTGCCCCGCAGCCCATTCTGACTTGGGCGTGCTTTGCATGGCGAAGGGCAAAGGGCACTCAGGCAGTAGCCCGGTTGCCAAGAAATCCCGACAGAAAGGAGTGCATGGCAAGTGAGTCGTTGACCCCTGCTGCAAACAAAGCAGTGAAGGCATCAACTCGCTTCAAACTTGAGCTGACTCAAAAGGAGAAACACATCTGGCAAAAGAAAGTGTACACATATGGGTCCATGTCAACATCGGGGCACCGCACGATCCAAAATGGGCAAGCTCTCTTCAAACCAAACTGAACAAGGTACTCTCAAACACACACCCACACACACACACAACATGTGCAGTTCTTGCATGGTGCCTTGGTTCAACTGTACCTAGCCCAATTCAGGGCCTGGCTGCTATTGGGTTGGATCTTTAGACTTTAGCTTTTTGGGAAATCAAGGGGTTTTCCACTAAACCCACAAAGGGCTGAACTTTTTGCAGAGGGATCAGCAGCAACCAAGTTTATGAGTCAGGGCTCCTCCGGGATCGGCGCAGGCGGCTGGCCAGGCACCGGTACAGGCCATGCGTGGGATGGGCTGTGTGCTGCTTGTCCTGGGCGTGTGGCTTGGAAAGAGAGGAAAGGGGTTTGCTGCTCTGGGTTTTGGCGCTCTTTGTGCTGTTGTGTAGGCATTTTCTTGAACATTGCTTCTTTCTTTTTCTTCTTCTTCTTCTTTTTTTGTGGGGGGGGGAGGTGGGAGGGACGGACGCTCAAGGGCGCTGTTTTTTAGAAACAGGGTCGCTGGC